CCTTTCTTTTTTTGAAGTGAAGAGGAAATGCCTGTGAGTTCAGCCTCTGGTGAATTCTCTCTCAACATGGGCCAGGGGTATGAATAGCCCCACTAACATGCAGAATGCATTGGTGAGTGGATGGTAAAGATGCAGTCAGGTTAAAATTTAGCACCCTACCATTTTCTCTCTCTTATGAGCCATTTAAATTTTCTGTTTTTTTAAAAAATTGAGGTTTGTATCTAGAGACAGTAACTGATTAATGGTTCCTTGGGAGTATGGCAGGAGAGGTTGGGGGGAAATGGGGAGCTAGTAATGGTGAGTACAAGAATGAGGAAAATGTTCCCAAACTGACTAGTGATAGTTATCCATTTTTCCTTGATGTGCTTCAACTATTGAATTGCACAATGCATGAATTATGTGCCAATAAAACGGTTGAAAAGTAAAAGAGTTACAGTCTCAAAACCTCACGGGATCAGCTCTACCCTCCTACAGGGTTCCCATGAGTCAAAATCGACTCAGTGGCAGTGCGTGTGAGTGTGCGTGGTGTGTGTGTGTGTGTGTGTGTGTGTGTGTGTGATCAGTTTAGTATTCAGCAAGGTGACCATGATAATACTGATGAGGATGAAAAGGGTGTAACTTTACTCTGTTCTTAGACTTCTCTATTCCCTCGATGATTTGAAGGAGTTTATTTCCAGATCCTTCCGAGCACTAAATGGGTCTCAGTTTCACAGGTGAAAAAAGAGCCCAGGGAAAAGCTGCTCAGAGGACAGGTGACCTCTGATGGGAAATGAGCACGACAGGGCAGCTCCCACCCCCTCCACCTGTCACAGCGCACACCACCACTCTCAGAGGCTACAAAAGCTCACCGCAGGCACTCGCTAAGCCTCCCTTCACCAGGGTGACACTGAGGGTTGGCCATGAACTTGATGTTTGAACAATTCACATCTGGATTGGTTGTGATTCTGTATCTTTACTCCTTCCCTCTCTACCTTCTTTCCTCCGTTCCTTTATCTTTTCTTCCTCCCCCCTTACCTCCCTTTCTCCCACCCACCCACTCTCTGTTTCATTCTTTCTAGCTTTTTGCCAGTTAGTATATGTCAGTCTATGAAAGTTAACATGATCTTGCCTTCCTTCTCTCCATGGCTCTAATCCTGCTATCTACCGTGTCTCATTTCTCCAAATCCTATATGAAACCAAGCCATGCCACAGCACACACCGCACCGCACTGCACCAAACCACACTACACCACACCATACCACACCACACCACA